CTCGTCCACAACGCAAACTCCCCTCGATCGCGGATATTATGAGCGAAACTGCAAGCGGCGGTTCAGCGCAAGTTCCTTCGGGCGACGTGCCTCCATCTCCGACACCTTCAGCGGACACGCCTGCTGCAGGCAGCGTCGCGTCCGGTGTTGACGCCGGTACCGATGATGCCGAGCTGGTCGATCCGCTGCTCGCCTTGTCACGGCGCACCCCATGGCCTGGCAGCGCACTCACGAGCAGTGTGCGGCCTCTGACAAAGGACGGTGCTGCTGCGTGGGCTAACAGCGTGAGAGAGCTGGACGACAAGGTGAAAGCGGCCATCGCAGGCCATCCTGCTGGTCGAATCGAGTACCCGCCAGCGTTCTTCACGCCTCCGATACCTGGATCGTCAGATTCGCATAGTGTTGTTGGAATTCCAGCGAGTATCGAAGATTACACTTCAGGTGCGAATATGCGTGACGGTTTCGGTGGTTTGGAGTCAATTTTCCCTGTGGAACATCTCTTGGACGCTGAACTTCAGGATGTTGCTCGGCTTCTTGGCCTGGATGACGGTGAGGGCGTCTCGAATTCCGTGTTGGTTCCTCGTGGTGATTGCTCAGAGTGGCCACCACGCGTTTTCCAGGATGTGGTTGATTCGACTCGTGCGAAACGCGAGTTGGCCTCTCTGGTCCGTGCCTTTGGTTGCGAGCGACTCGCAGATCGGGTCTTCGGGACGTCGACGGCGCTTCATCGCGCGGTGAAGGAACTGCGTGAGTTCCAGGGGCAACTCAACGAGTCAGCCCTGAAGAACGTCAAAAGGGTCGCCGAGCTAATGATCAAGCACGACAATGTGCGTTCCGGATTAACAATCTTGAGCAACTTCTGGGATGACCAGTTTCAGTTGGCTCGAAAACAACTGGACCACAAGGCCTCGGAGCATGACCGGGATTTCAAGCGCGCAGCTCAGGATCACTAGCGCGAAGCTCGAGCTCTGCAGGCCCAAGTGGATAGTCTTTCGCAAGAAAATGACGACCTCCGCGACTGCATCCGGGGTATCGAGAACAGGCTCACGGCGGGGTCTTTGAATGTGGCCCGGACGATGAACTTCTTGAACCGTCATGGCACTCGGGTCGACAGCAACTGGCCTCGCCTGAAAACGCTGTTGGAACACGCCAAGGACTCCAAGATTCCTCCCAGTAGTTGGAAAACACAGATCCTGGTCAACGCAGTTGATGACTTCGGAGCACAATCTGGACCTTACGCCTTCGAAGACGAGGGCAGTCTGGATGACGGCGACTCCAAGGAGGATGACAGGTCTGGAAACCGTGACGACAGCAAGAAAAAGCCTCTGGATCTCTCGCACGATTCGTCAAGTCCACAGCAGACGCCCAAGAAACCCAAGGCGTCGGACAAGTCTCGATCTCAAGGTACGGTTCAGCTTCGCCCCTCTGCGTACGCGCCGAATGATCATGACGCTCTGGATGCCACCAAACGGCCACTCCGGACCATCACTCAGGTACGCGAGTCTCTGGAAGATCTCCCGGTAGTCTGGTCCAAGCAACGTTCGGACCTGCAACAGGTCATGCTTTCCGGACTTGACTATCAGGATGCTCTGGACCTGGTCAGCGGGGACAACGAGGTGCACACCCGGATCACATCGCGGGCTTTAACTCAAATGTTGGTCCGGATGATGTACTGGGGCAAGCTCGACCAGACTCCGTGGACCAAGTACGTACCGACGTGGTACTTCAAAAGCGCGGAGGCGCTCATCGAGTCAACGGACGAAATTCCGGATCGCTGGCCCAACTTAAAGAAGGTTCGTCTGGAAGATGAAGCTGAGATCTAGATGGCGCTCTACGAGGACATTTCGAGCGAGGACGATGATGAGCAGGACGCGGACTTTCAAGATAGCAGTCCAAGTGGCAAGTCCCACAACAGCTCCGGTCGCCGGGCGACTCCGCCTCGGGCCGCCAAGCACAAACGCGACTCAGAATCCGGAGTGTCGGGAAAGTCTTCGGGCGGCAGTGATTCTGGGGAGCCTGAACACAAGAGGTCCCGTCCTTCTCAGGAAC